GTGGCCCATGCTGGCGAGCATGGAGGGTGAGTGTGGCTGCCCTGGCCTCTTGCCTGCTGTCACAGAGCTCTGACCTCTCCATATACCTGCCTATTTCTGATCTGTTCATGCTGCCATGTGTGTTTCTTTTAGTGTCACTGTGTTTGTCAGTCCCTACTAACTCATCTGTTTGTCCATCATGCGGCCTATGCATGTTCCTGACACTTTGCTGGACCTGCCTCAGACCATGTGACTGACTTTCATGTTGCCACACACTGCTCAGTTTCCATGTTATAAGAGTTCCTAGAAGTGTTTCCACAGCTGCCCACTCCCTCCTTCCTGCATTGAAATACTTTTTCCTGCTGCCTTCTAGGACTCTGCCTTCTCCCTGTTTTCCTCCCTGTCTCACCACCTGTCTCCCTTTACTCATTCCTTTCCATGCATTTTCTGAATTTTGATATTTCTCATGGTTCAGTCCTTTTTTTTACACATCTATGCACTCTCTAGGTGATATTATTCCCATCATTTTCAACACCAACAGAGTGTTGTTGAGCTACACAATTCCTTATCCAACTGCCTACTTAGATGCTTTATAAACTGCTCAAATTTAGCAGGTCTTATCATGCACTGTTATTTTCTCATTCTTTCACATGGTTCTCTGAAGGGACCTCTGTGAATCCAGTTGCTCAAGCTGGAAATAGCCCACACTATATTGCAGTTGGTACTGACTCTAGCTCCATCTGTTATATCCTCAGTCCACAGCCACTTCTCTTTTTCTCTACTGCTATCACTCTTGTCCTAGCCATCATCATTTCTTAATTGGATTACTCCAAATAACCTCCAAATTGGTCTTGTTTTGTCCATTTGGGGATCCCATCATCCATTTTCAACTCAGCAGTTAACTTAAAATCATGTGCCACATTGAATCATATTCCTGACATTATATTCATCTACAACATTTCATTATATATCTGTATCAGATAAGAACTCTCTTAAAAACATTTTATTATAGGACATTTCAAACATTCAAAAACTAGATAGTATAATGAATTTCCATGTATCTATCATTCAGCTTCAACAACCACCAACTGACCAGTCTTACTTGACCACTATCTTTACTCACTCCCAATTATTTTAAAACAAATCTTAGACATCATATCGCTCCATCCATAAATCTTTCGGTGTGTATCTCTAACACAGAAAGGCTTTTAAAAAATGTAACCATATTATCATTATCATAGTGCAAACTCACTTTCTTAATGTCATCAACTATCTAAACAATGTTTGATTTTCCCAATTGCATATACTTAAAGATAGTTTGCTTAAGTCAGGATCAAAATAATGTCCATCAGTTGTAATTGGTTGATATGTATCTTAAGTCTTTTAATATTTAATTGAGATTCCTTTCAAATGAGTAATTTTTAATTGATTGCTTGGAAGGTATTTTTTCAGACTGATTTCATGACTTCCTATTTAGAAGCCCAGTTTATTAACTGTATATTTATGCATATTACTAAATCCCAATCTTACAAATACTTTAGAAGTAAAAGTACTTGTTTTTGTTCATTGATTTTGGTTAAGAACTTTGATCTGGTATTTTAGTTTCTCTTGGGAGAACTTTGACACATCTCAGATGAAAACAAGTGTTTTATTCTTTCCTTTGTTTTAATATTCATTAAAATAATAATTTAATTGGTGTTGGATAGCCTGTGTCCTTGAGCCTTGGGGTCCCCTCCACATATATATGTATGTGTGTGTAGGATGTGGGGTGTGCATACATGCCAGTATACTTCTTAGTAATGTGAGAAATGACCAAGCTGGTACTTCTGTGCACTCTACCCTTCATACCTCAATTCATATAAAGAAGAAAACATAGACCATGAAGTTCCTGTGGCTATAGCCACACCCATGGCCTTCCCATGTTCCCCACTGTCAGCTAGACTAAGACTTGGTTTTTTTACCCAGAGACTTTAACATATTCATACTAGTCTGAGAGCTTATTTCAGGGGCTCCCATGCATGTTGAAGGAATTCACACTCAAACGGAATCTCCTTTGGGTTGAAGCTTTTGTGTGTTCCACCTGGTCTTCACTGACAGCCCACTAGAGGTCTCCCTGGCCTCCCTCCCTCCCTCTGGTAGTGAGAGCCTGTCTTTGTGTCCTTCTGTCAGACACAATTCATTGAAATCCTGAAAAAACCAAAATTGTATGATTTGAAACAGACCTCTTAGAGGCCAATAGGTACCAACAGTTGTTGAAGAAAGAGTTCCTATATAGAAATGAGCAGCATTATGAAACAAAGTCATCTCACAGAATTTGGATTAATTTTCATAGAGAAGTCCTCCCTTTCTTTTAACAGAAAAATAACTCCAGACCCTGTAGTTTTAATGTTTTTTGCCAGAGAAATCTTACGGTGTGGACAGTCAGCTATAAT